TATATATTGCTGCTAGTTAGTACTTTTATAATTGACTTTTGTATAAAACAATATTCTTGGTACATAAAAATGGTAACTCTCACACGTTTGCTCTTATGAACTCAGAGTGGCAATGGGGGCATCATTGGAAGACCTGAAGAACCAAGTTAGGGACAGATTGTTATGGAGAAGATCTATCTTTTTGGTTGCTTAGAGTTGACACTGACTTGATGGCACATAATCAAGCCCCCAAAATACTGTGGTGTGGCAGTGAATCCAGGTTATGTAGCACTTCCATTTTCAAAGATACTAGTCCTCAGCAGGAAAGGGTTAGGATTATTTAATAGTAATGTGAGTGTTGAATTCAGACCAAGGAAATCCAGTTTCAGGTCTATCCTCATCCATGGAAGTTCATGGAGGCATTTCACACTAGTCTCAGCCAAACCTACCTCACGGAGTTGTTGTTATTGAGATAAAGTTGGAGGAGTGTGTACAAATACAAGCTCCCAGATGGAAGTGGGATATAAATCTAACAAATATAATTGCAAGAGTTTACTCAATTGATTTCCTACTAACTTTGTCACACAAATCCAGATGTCCCAACCAAAGGTCAACCCCTGCTTAGTTCTGACATTGTTGTCTAACATGACCATCCTCTGGGCATACGAAAGGGAGTTCTAGGCATGGGCGCAACCATGTACCCAGAAAACCAGCAGAGTCCCAGTGTTCTTTTTCTCGAGACAGAAGCAAACAATTCTGAAGAAGCCCTTCCTTTGAAACAAGCCAACAACCCACTTGAAAAGACAAAATACAGAATTTATTAAACCTAAGAAATTAGCAGAGGCCTCTAGAAACCACCCCTCTTCCTGAAGTACTATTTGCGGCTTTTCTGCTGCGAGCAACAGGCAAAATTACGATGGACCTTTTTGCAGATGGCCTTCTGCTACTATATATTCTCTTCACACTAGACGGGAAAACGTGCATACCTATAAACGTGCCCTTTTTTTAAAGAGAAGTCCAGAGAAGCGTAGCCGGATGGGGGACATGCGAAAGTTGGAATGGAGCAGGCCTGAAAGATATAAGTTGGAATAGCAGCCCGGTCCAAAACTGAATGATGTAACAGCTAAACTGTTTTTATTCAGCATTTTGGCTCAACTCCCAGGGAATCATGGCAATTTCTTTGGCAAACAATGCAGAAGAACTTCATCACTGCCTCTTTAGGACATTTCTTGACTTCCAAACTAGCTTACAATTCTGGAATTTCCTAGTGGTCTCCAGACCAAGTACCAACCAGGCTAAAACCTGGTTTAAACTTGCCCCTCCCTAAGGCCGAGAAACCATTTGTGCACATACACAAATACCCAAAAAACAAAAAAAAGAGGTTCACGCAGGATGCTCCTGCTTTTAACCTCTCCGAAACAGAAACTGTTGGCCACGCTACAGTCTGCAAACATGAGTCTCTGTAAATCAGTGTTGTCCCCACAATTTCCC